ACAAGGGAGCTGGAAGGGGCCTTGCTGAAGGTTTAGTCTGAACTTGTGCCAAGAGTGAGAGAGAAGGAGTCTAAGGCACACTTGGAACCACAGAGCTAATTAATGGCTGAGCAGGACCGGAACCAGGGTCCCGTGGCAGGTCCTGATAACTTGCTTCCGCCCTGCTCTCATCGGCTCAGTCTGTTTCAGGGCTGTCAACCACAGGCACACCAAGAAGACTTCTGGAGAACACCAGATATATTTAATAAGAATTAGAATGTGTGGCACAAACACTGCCTCATAATTGTCAATTGATTCTTTTAATTAAAAACTTTACTTTTAGAGTACAACCCACTCCAATTAGGATCCCATTCTTGTGGTTGTACATAATGTGGAGTTACACTGGTTGTGTACTCATTTATGAGCAAAGGAAAGTTATGCCCAATTCATTCTACTGGTCTTTCCCATTCCCGTCCCCCCCTCCCTTCCCTTTGTTCCCCTTTGTCTAACCCAATGGACTTCTATTCTTCCCCTCTCTACCCTCCCTTGTTGTGGGTTAGCATCCATATATCAGAGAGAACACATGGCCTTTGGTTTTTGGGGAGTGGCTTATTTCACTTAGCATGATAGCCTTCAGTTCCATCCATTTACCTGCCAGGGCCATAATTTCATTCTTCTCTATGAAGAGGAATATCCCATTGTGTATATATACTGCATTTTCTTTATCCATTCATCTGTTGAAGGGCACCTAGGATTTTGTACTCCATGTACACTCTGCTCTCATATATCTAAAAACAACAAATAAAAGAAAATTTTTAAAAATTACAGCATTGGGTGGGAGGGAGAGAGGGAGGGAGGGAAGGGGAATATGCTGGGGACTGATATTAGCCAAATTATATTGCTATATTGTGTGCATATATGAATATGGAACAATGAATCCCATCAGTATGTACAATTATAATGCACAAATAAAAATGTGGAAAAAATTTACTTTTAGAGCAGTTTTTGATTCATGGAAAAAATACGGGCAGAAATAGAGAATCCTCATACACCCCATCTCTAAGCATATACAGCCTCCCCCACGATCAACATTCCCCCAACACAGTGGCACCTGTGGGATAATTGATAACCCTACATTGCCACATCATTATCATCCAAAGTCCACAAATGAAGGTTTACTTTTGTTGTCATACATTCTGCAGGTTTGGGCCAGTACTAGATGATATATATTTACCAGTAGAGCTGATGTATCTGAGTTGTTATAGTATGATACAGCATAGTATCATACAGGACAGGTTATCCTGTCTTAAAAGTCCTCTTTGCTCCTCCTATTCATCCCCTCCTTGGCAACCTTTGATCTTTTTCACTTTCTCCAAAATTTTGCCTTTTTCAGAATGTTGCATATAATCACTTGACATACCCACTTCAAGTGGCTTCTTTTACTTCATAATATGCATTTAAGTGTCCTTCATGTCTTTTCGTGTCTTAATATTAGTGCTGAATAATATTCCATTGTCTGGATCAACCAGTGTATCTATCCATTACTTACTGAAGGATATCTTGATGGCTTTCAAGTTTTGCAGTGATATATAAAGCTGTTTGTTATAAACATCTGTGTGCAGGTTTTTATGTGGATATAAGTTGCAGCTCATTCGGATAAATAACAAGGAAAGGAATGCAATTGGTGAATATCTGGTGAGAGTGTGTTTAGTTTTATAAGAAACTGCCAAACTGTCTTTCAAAGTGATTGTATTTTCATTTCTACCAGCAAGGAATGAGAATTCCTATTGATCCACGTTCTTGCTAACATTGGATGTTGTCAGTATTTTGGACATTGGCCATTCTAATAGTGTGTAATGATACATGATTGTTGTTTTAATTTGCAATTTCTTAATGATATATGATATGGTGCATCTTTTCATATGCTTCTTTGCATTTATATCTTCTTTGTCAAGGTGTCTCTTCAGGTGTCTTTTGCCCATTTTTTAAAAATATTTTTTAGTTGTCAATGGATCTTTATTTTATTTATTTCTCAGAATTGAACCCAGTGCCTCACATATGCTAGGAAAGCACTCTACCACTAAGCCACAACCCCAGCCCCATCTTTTGCCCATTTTTAAGTGAGTTATTCTTTATCTCATTGTTGAGCTTTAAGAGTTCTTCACATATTTTGGATAACAATCCTTTATCAAATATATTTTGCAAATATTTTCCTCCAGTCTATGGCCTATCTTTTCATTCTCTTGATATTATCTTTCTTAAAATTTCAATGAAATCCAGCTTATCAATTATTTCTTTTATAAATCATCTTTAATAGCGTATCTAGAAAGTCATTGCCAAACGTAAAGTCATCTAGATTTTTTTTCTCTGTTATCTTCTAGTAGTTTTATAATTTTGAATTTTACATTTAGGTCTTTGATCCATTTAAAATTATTTTGCACAGGAGGTAAGGTCTGTGTCTAGATTTAGTGTTGTTGTTGTTGTTGTTGTTTTCTAACACAATTTACTGTAAAGATTACCTTTGCTCCATTGTATTTCTTTGCTCTTTTGTCAAAGATCAGTTGACTGTATTTATGTGGGTCTGTTTCTGGGCTCTCTATTTTGTCCTGTTGACCTATCAGCCTATTCTTTCACCAGTACCACTGCCTTGATTATTGTAGCTTTATTATAAGTCTTTAAAAAGTTGTTTTCTAGAGCATTCATTTGTTGTTATGAACTGAACCTAAACAAGCTTACAGGAATGAAATTTATGGGGCACCAAACAGGCAAATCATTATTACCCTCCATAGTCTTGCTGGTTTGGGTGGAGAACCTTGCCTGATTGTCTCTCGTGTGATCTCTGCCTTGTTCAATTGCTGTGTTTTGTTTGCAACCTTTGTACATTGATACAGTCAACATATTTGTCACTGAAATGGTTACCTAGTTTTGCATGGTGTACATTGATTATTTCTCTTTTAGAGCCCTGGATTGGTGTTCTAATTCAATTTTGCTTTCCCAAATATTTGTGTGCTGATAATGTCCAAGAGATCACATCACATCTCTTCTTGTGGCAGTTGTGAGCTCCTTGAGGCAGGGACTGTCTTTGACATCCCCACCATCCTTAGTAGCCCCTCCTCTCTCCAGAATATCATTTAATTATGGGGATTTAGGGAGCCTTGAAGATCATTTTCCCAAGAAGATAATGCACACAAACTAAACATAGGACCAGGTCCCTGGCAGGTGCTTCTTGATTTTAGTGACACAGGGCCTTCTGAGGCCTCAGGGGTTGTCGTGGGGAGAGTTAGTGACCCCACACTTGCCATTTCCCTACTTTGAATGTAAGCTCAGAACTCAGGGACAGCATAGCCTGCTTGGTCAGAAACCTGGCCTGGCTCCTCTGCCTTTCGGAGGGTAATTATGTCTGCAGCATGCTGTACCCACTTCCATAGGTGGCACAGCTAGATAGAGCAAAGATTTTCTGTGAAAATTCTGGAAGAAAGAAACTAGAGAGTGAGTGATTATTTGCCTAACGAACAGTCAGATAAGGGTTTCCTCCACGCTTTTGGAAATTTTTACCCTTCTAGATGTTTGCTCCTAGTTGACCCCCTATTCTTCCCAGAAGATTCTCCTCCTGCCTTCCTCCTCATCCACTATTTTGCTTCTTCCTTGCTATTCCATTGAATAAACCATTGATGGTTTATTCCTGGCCTCTAAATATGGACATCTGTCCATGAGCCTCTGCCTTGGTCTCCCTGGAAATGTGCCCTGTCCAGGTGGCTTTAATGGTCAGTGACTCCTCAACCCTATGGTCAACCCCAACCTCTAGAGCTGACTCTAGTGCTACATTTTCAGATCTCTGCTAGACATGTTCTACTGGCAACCCAGATCCAACCTTAAGTAGCTTTATCGAACTTCTGCCAATGCTGTCATCACTGATGTGTCAGGGGCTTGTCTGGGCTGCCTACTAACCACATCTTGGGCCCTTGGTTTCCTCATCTGTTGATTAAGATGGTACTGCCCTCTCTATTCTCACTAAGAGAACTGAATGGAACAAGATATATGAAAGCTGTTTTAAGCTATAAAAGTGCACACAAAGAATAAGTGTAATCATTGTATTATCATCTTTGAGTTCTTATGGGTCACTACATCCATGCTGTCTCCACTCATTACCATTTCCGTCTTCCCTATGACTCTCATCCATTATTTTACCTCGGTTCTTGATGTCACCATCAGAGTTGAGGTCCTTTCACCCATTGCCTAGCTTAGTTCTATATTCTCTAGCCGAATGATTCCTATACTGCAGGCCACATAGTAACCAGTAGAAGGAAACTACTTTTTAACGTAATTGTAGTCTCTTTAACAAAGGTTCTAGGAACTGAATATCTAAATGTAAAAGAGTCCCTCACACCATATGCAAAAATTAACTCCTCGTGGATCAAAGACCCAAAAATAAGAGCTTAAAATGTAAAGCTTCTAGGAGAAAAATAGCTGTAAATCTTCATGTCCTTGGATTAGTTCATGATTTCTAAGGTATCACATTATAAGCACAAGCAACAAAAGAAAAATAGTTAAATTGGAATTCATTAAAATTAAAAATGTTGGGCTGGGGTTGTAGCTAGTGGTAGAGTGCTTGCTTAGCACACATAAGTCACTGGGTTCAATCCTCAGCTCCACATAAAAAAATAAATAAATAAAGTAAAATTAAATAAATAAAGTATTGTGTTCATCTATAACTAAAAAAAAATAAGGAAAAAAATAAAAATGTTTGTGCTTCAAAGGTCACCACTGAAACAGTGAAAGATAACTCACACTAGGAGAAATTTTTTCAAATTTTATATGTATCTGATAAGAGACTTGTATGTATAATAGAAAAAGAACTCTTACAACTCAACCATAAAAAGATAAATGATATAATTAAAAATAGGCACATAAAATTAACCAAATTATATTGTGTTCATGTATAAATATATTACAATGAATCCCACCATTAAGTATAATTATAATACACCAATAAAAAATTTTAAACAAATAGGTAGATAAAATAGGCACACATAATTTTTATTTTTTAATTATACTTCAATAAATCTGGAAGAGAAAATAGGCCAAGATGTGAAGAGAGATTTCTCCAAAGGAGAGATACAAGTGGCTGATATATACCAAAAAAGGAGGTTCAACATCATTATTCACCAGGGAAATGCAAATCAAAACCACAATAAAATAATGTAATAATCCAAAAACTATTTGATTGTATTCTTTAATTGGGTAACTGAATTCTATAACAAGGTATCCACTAGGATAGCTAGAAATTAAAAGTCAAATAATAACGAATAATGTGGAGAAACCAGAACCCTCATAAACTGCTGGTGGGAGTGAAAGAAGGTGTAACCACTTTGGAAAACACACACTGGCAGTGTCCCCAAAGATTAAACATAGATCTATTATATGACTGAGCAACCCCACTTCAGGTGAGATTGAAGGTATTATTTATGACCAAGACAGATGAAAACGTATGTCTACACAAAAACATGTACATAAGTGTTGCTTATTTATAACAACCAAGAAGTAAATATAATTCAAATGTCCATAATTGATGAATATATAAATGATATGTGGTATATCCATTCAAAGGAATACTATTCACCCATAAAGAGGAATGAAATATTGATATATGCTACAATGTGGATGAACCTTGAAGATATTATGCTAAGTCAAAGAAGTCAGTCACAAAAAATCATATGTTGTATGATTCTAATTGCATGAAATTAGGCAAATCTATGGTTTAGGCAAATCTATGAAGACAGAAGCTGATCAATAGTTGCCTAGGGGGTTGGGGGAAATTTTCTAAAGTAAACAATAATTCTTTTAGAGGTGATGAAGATGTTCTAAGATTTATTGGAGTGATAGTTGCACAATTCTATGAATAGAATAAAACACAATTGAATTATACACTTTAAATGGGTCATTGGTATGGTATGTGAGTTATGTCTCAATTAACTTTAAAATGCAGTTATAAGAGGAAAAATCATGGTAGGTACATGTTATGGAAAGTTTTAGATGAGCTTAGGATGTAATTCAGTGATAAATCACTTGCCTAGCATGCACCAGGCACTGAGTTCAATCCCCAGCACTGCAAAAAAAAAAAAAAAAAATTAAATGCTAATTTCAGTGGTAAGGACTGGTTCTCCAGGGCCGCTTTTCTCAAAGGGTGTTTCATATACTATCTAAACCAGAATAGTAACAAATACCACCTCCTGGTATAGTTCAGAATGTTCTGGATGCGATCAGTATTTTGCATTTGTAGAAAGCACTCCAGTGGGGCTACAGCAGGTGCTGAGCCCATTTTGAAAACGGTGTTAGTAAATCCTGCTGCCTCCAGACTCCTCCTGCTCCACTCTGCCTGCACTTGGCTGCCAGATGCGCCTCCACAGTGGATTTTGATTGGGCCACCACCCTGCTCAGAACCCTCCAGTGGGCCCTCTTTCCTCAGCAGGAGCTCCAAGCACTCTGCACGTTATCTCCCATGACTCCATATACATGTCTTTTATGTCCATCAAACTGGTATCTGCCTCATTCTCAACCTCCGTTGTGGGTTCCCACTCTGATCCTCGCCACACTGTCCCACATTCCAGGAATGCATCCCCTGCACCTCCCATCTCATCTTTTGTAATACAAATGTCACCCTAATCTTTTCCTTTTAACAAGCTCATCATCTAGAATTCACTGATAGCCTTTCCTCACCTTTTAAGCTACATAATTCTGCTGCTTGCAAATCAGACAAATTGCTAGGAGAGCTTGCCTGTGGATGAGAGCTTAGCCCAGCCCCTGGTAGGAGGGCAGCAACGGAGCGGGTGATACTTACCAGGGCCTGGGGTGATAGAATGTGGTGTGGAGATGCTAGTACCAGCATGACAGGAACATGTTCTGGTGGCAGTCTTTCCTGAGGAGTTCGGTATCTTCCCTGATGACCCAGAGATCTGGACCTGCATCAGATACCACTGGAATGTGGACCGGACCTAGAGGACCCCCTGACCTCCACCAAGCCTGTCAAACCTTGGCAGCTCAGCTGACACCGAGGCTGGGAACTGCTGAGCCAAATCCTCATTTCAATTGGGGACAGAAAGGCTCTGGCCATCCCATTGTCCTCTACCCGCTCCTCAGCAGGAGAGAAATCGAGAAAGCCATTTACAGCCTATTTGTTAATGAGCTCTTAAAAATAAAATGATGATTGTCAGATAATTATTTTACAAGGCAACAAGAGCCCCCTTGAAACCATTTCAGTAATTACATTAAGACATTCTATTTGTAAGAAGCTAATAGGAAACAAACCATTAATTAGTATTTTGTCTTCTTTCCCTCTGCCCCTTCCCCCTTGAATTACGGGGGTGGGGGGATCCTGGGGCTATACAGCTGGAGTGCAGCCAGAAGAGGAAACGACCAGGAGATCCAGGGGCCACAGGGGCCACAGCTCACTGTAGGGGGATCACAGAAAGCAGTGGAGGGTCCCAGGGCTGCTGTGGCCCCAGTGGAACCAGCCGGTCACCTACCGTGGCCTAGGCCCACCTGAATGGAACCCTGTGTGGCCCAACGTCCATTGCTTTGGTCACGGAGTGGAGCAGCTGGTAGTTGTGGGGCAAGCTGAGCTCAACGTGGGAATGTTCCCAGGGGCCTCAGAGCTAGTGGGTGGGGCGGGCACCTGGGCAAACAGAACTAAGAAACGGGCAGGAATGAATCAAGGACAGCTTAAATATGCAGAAATGCAGTTCATACCTCTGGGCAAAAATAATCCCAAACAGAGTTATGTAATGGGAGGGAGGGATATGATAGGAGGGATGAAGCTGCGAGGGGTATGCAGGATGAGTGAATGAGAGAGATGGAGAGGGACAGAGAATGGAGTGGGAGGGACCTGGGGGGGTTGGCTGAAGAGCTGAGGAAGCTGTCATCCTGGGTGGGATATATTCATTTAGGGGGAGGTCATTCTGCTAGTGAACCCTGACAGCTCTAAATGACCCTGACCCCTATGCCTGGGGTGGCCTTAAGGGCACTGCAAATGTGTGGGCTTCTTAATCCTAAGGGGCAGGGACAGGGGAAAGCCAGCAGGCACAGGCATGGGGGTTTGGATTCCACAATTTCCCTTTTAAGTCAGTGCACCTTCCTCTGGCCCCCATACTCCACCTCCAGCTCTCTGTCTTCTTCTTTCTGCTATAGGAAGCTCACCTTGACACACCACCCAAGTCACCTAACTCTCCCTCCAAAGAACTTCCAGGAGATTTAGTCTGATTCTCTCCAAGGAAATTATCTATAAATTGCTGCTGCGGTCTTAGCTGTGATTTGTGTCTGTGTAAATTTCGCCCTCCTGCATTGTTAGGATACTGAAGTGCCCAGCTCTGAGTTGGTCACAAAGCAGAGCAACCATTGTCACTGAGCCTGGTGACCCAAGGAGCAGGCAGAGGCAAAGCAGGGGGCAAGGGCACAAAGGCTGTGCTGGGTGTCCCCTCAGGCCATAGACCTATGGAAGCCATTGGTTGCAAAGGGAGCCCTGGGATTAGGGAGTGGTGGTGTTGGAGCTGCAGAACCATTTAAAGGGGAAGATTGTGTATAAAATTACGTCAAAGAGGCACTCAGTAGACATCAGTTGGAACCCCAACACAGTGTGCAATTAGACAAAGGCTTGTGGTAGGCAATTCATTGACCACAGCTGTCAGAACCCAATACTCCAGGGAGGAGGAGAGGGAGCCAGACTCACAGAAAACCTGGGTGATGGAATTAGTGTGGAGAAAACAAACTCAGGGACAAGTATGAGTCGAACAGGGGCCACCCAAGTCAACATCAGCATCCTCGCTGTCTTCCTAGTCATTAGATGCTATTGCAAGGAATTCTGAAGCATCCAATAGCCAGATTCCAGTGCTCAGAGCTCCTGAGACCATCTGTGAGCATGCTGCTTGCCACGGGCAGCTCCATGGACATCCACAGGAAGGGCTCAAAAGAGCACAGGTTTCCAAGCCTCCCAGAGGTTCGAGGGAGACTGCTAGAAGCCTGGCTAGAAGGGCAGCAGTCAATGGCAAGGGAACTGCAAGCAGAACTGGACAAATACTTGGAGACTCAGAGCTCTTCTTTGAAGGTTTATTGCTGGAATGGCCCTTGGAGCACATTTTTATTTCCCTTTGGTTCATAGGCAAGTAGCTGTTGAGGCCCAAATGGAAACTGCCTAGGAACCACCAGGAAAAAAACTGGCTGAGCTAAATCAAAGGAGAATGCAGGTTTCCTGACTCTGTCTCCTTATTGTGTCTGCTCGGAATTTGCAGAACCTGCTCTGGGTGAATTGTGGTATTCACAGCTACAGGGTGGTCCAGGAGCCAGCAGCCCAGAGGTTCTAGAGGTGTTTGTATGGTGGTTCATGCTGGAACTTTCATAAGTTGTTAATCAGGGGCTCCAAGGAGAAGCAAAGGGGTGATTTGGGACAGTAGGAAGAAAGCAAACCGGACCAGAGAAGACCCTGAGACCTGCCACAGCCTCTTTGAAATTAGCATCAGTGAAGCTGTCCATTGGGAATTCCCAAGAGGGCTAGGTATGGCATGGGAACCAGTACCCAGGCCAGGCCAGAGAGGTTGGGCTGTGGTCCCAGGAGCAGCCAAGCCTGGGGTGGCAGGGCTGGGCTGGGTAGGGCTAGGCTGGGCAGGGCTGAGAGAGAGAAGAGAAATTTTTTGCCTCCAGGCTCATAAATGCCTATATTGGGCAAGGCCTCTTGTTTCCTTGGGCGGTGACCAGGAGTCTTTCCAAATTTGCCAGCCTGGCTTGAATTGTCTCCCTTTGCCTGGAGAGGGACTGTACCCTTCCAGAGGATTCTCCTCAATCCTCAAGGTGGTAGGGATGGGTCAGGTTCCTCCAGCCTGACCTCCCAGAGCATATGGGGAGATATAAGCAAATTCCATCTAAGATGGCTGGGCTATAGCTCAATGATGGACACAGCTCAGCACTTGCCTAGCATGCATAAGGCCCTGGTTTCAATCCCCAGTACCATAAAAACAAACAACAACAAAACAATGAATTACCTCTGCTAGACCAGGATGGGACCTGCAGGACAACTGTTTCTGGGAACCATGGCTCCCACAGGGTTGCTGATCCACACAGTCACTATGTCCCCAGGGTGATGTAGACAGTAGCTAAGCCCTTGTGGCAGGTCCCTCTAGCCCCCAGGCCAGCAAACTTGTCATTATGTCGTTACATAAATAAATTATGTACTTACACAGGACTTGGTGTGTGAGTGCCAGTTAGTGTTATTGCTGTGTAATTATGCAGTTAGCTTGAAGACGGAGGATGGCAGAAGAGTTGAATCACCAACCCCCAGCCCGGACCCTGGTGAAGACAGCTAGGCTCCCACCCCTCACCTCAGTGAGAACTGTCACTGCAGTCACCAGATAAAGTTTTGGGATCTCCCAGGTGTCTCCTGCAGATGGGGCAAATTCCCCCTCGGCTGCACCACAGCAGGATTCCAGGGCACTTACCATGCCTCAGGCTTCCCACCAGCCCCTCACTACCTCCCCAGGCCTGACCCAGGCCTCACCCAAGGCAACCAAGGACTGCTGCCAAGCCAAGAAGCCCAGGAACCGGTGGGCTGAGGAGCACTATGGGGACAGGAGAAGGGCCCATGGGTCCACAACATCTCTTCCTCATCTGTGGGGGGGTGGGGTCTGTTCATTCCTCTACTCCCAACTCTCTCCCACTAGCTGGCAAGTTCAGAACTGGGGTTCCTCAGATGGGAAGATTTCTCAAGATTATGTAGTCCAACCTCACTTTTCCAGATGAGAAGGCAGGTCAGAGAGGGAAAGTAATTTGCCCAAAGGCACACAGCAAGCCCAGGGGACACTGAAAGTAGAGCCCTGCCTGCCTCCTGGGTCTCTGCTCTGCTTCCTTCCTTTGTCCTCTTGCTCACCCCCGCCCCCCATTGTTGGGGCTGCTCCAGCTTCTCACTTCCTCTCCCTCCCGTCCTGCTCCCAGCTCTGCCCAGGCCTGCCTGTCGCCTCACCTCTCCCCTCGTCTGCGCTCCCATTGCTGCCTGGCTTTCTTCTGCCGGCCCCTGAAGCCAGGGGAGGCTCCCCACTCTCTCTTTGGCCAATGCTTTCCTCTCTCTCCTGGTCCCTCCCAGTTGCTCCTGAGGCTCCTCCTGGGATGGGCCTGCCCCTTCCTTTTTACCTCCTTCTGGCTCCAAAGAGGATCTAAAATGAAGAAAAGAGATTAAACTCCTGGGCAGGGAGCATGAAATCTCTTCTGGGTTTCGAATTGGATGGGCTGAGCAAAGAGGAACCTTCTAAATGGTGGGGATAGGGGACAGAAGTGCCCACCCACGGCCATCCCTACAACCAGAGTCCAAGCTCAGGAGCTGGAACTGCTGACCTGATGCCGGTAGCAAAAGGAAAGGGGTGGAGTCAAAAGGGCGTGGCAGGGAGGTGTGGCTCAGCACCTCAGCACTATTGGCGTGGGCTTCTGAGCATAGGGAGCCACCCCAGATGGGGGCATTTTTAAGCGTTCTCATTTCTGGAATATCGGAAACGAATTTCCTCAGCCACTCAGTAAAATCCCTATGAGAAAGGCCTGTGGGCCCATCTTTTTTGGAAGGGGAAACAGTGTGGTCAGATGTCTATGGAGGCCTGAATTTGGAGCCTCCATGGACTGAGGTCAGTCTCTGTGCTGCAGGGCACAGCGAACTTAAGGCGCCGCGCGGTGCCTAAGTGTGTGTTGGCACCATTTGGAGGGACTAGCCGGGGTCTGCAGGCCAGTGGGAGGCTCCAGAAGCGCTCACCCAGCGGCAAGAGCTTTTCTACAGTGTTTTTTTGAGCCCCCTGCTCTTTCAGCCACCCAGATTCCCAGAGCCACTCCACTGTGGGCGGAGGAATCTGGAGGACAGCTCTCTGTTATATGGCCTAGGTCCCTGTTGTAGAAAAGGAACCTAATCTCAGGGGCACAACTAAGCCCAGGCCCAGGGCTCCCGGCATCCACCCAGCCCCTTTCACGGAGACCACACTGCCCACTTCTTAGTGGCTCCAGGTCCTCAGGCTCAGGGAGGTGGGGCCGAGAGTGAACCCGGGTGAAAGAGAAAAACCTGTTGCGGGTTACAGGGGGCGCTGAAGCTATGCCAGGTTGCAGACTTGGTGACAGGTCTGTCCCTCTGCTCTGCTGCGTGGAGTCACAGGGGAGTGGGTTTCCCAGGGCTTTCCACCTCCTGCGTGAGTGGGAATTTCTGTGGCCTGCAGGGAGTGGCATTTTACTGTCTCCTCCTCTGGTGGCCTCATTGGGTAGGGAGTAGGGGAGTGAAGCCTCATGACTTAGAGGCCCTAAAATAGGGGTGGCTGAGAGTAAGGGTCGCCTCATTTTCTCTAAGGACTTTTAGTTCACAGAGCAATATACAGCAGCTCAGGTGTGTCCTCTCCTGGCATGGGGGATGGGGGAGAGCCTTGAGGACATTGAGACTGTCCCCTGAGAATTCCCATGGAATAGCAAGCCCAAGGAGAGTGGATCCCAGAGACTCCTTTGCAGGAGAATTTAAGGCTTTTGGGGGCACCAAAGTCTCCAGTGGGGGAAGGGGTAATGTGGTTTTTTTCCTTCCCCTTTTTACTCAGAGGCATTTTTGCACATGACTCAAACA